ATAATTGATGTATAGACACTCCGCAAAACGAAAGCCCTGCAGCCTAATAAAAAGAAATCTGCGCGGACGTCTACGCGCACGGTGAGCTCAGGGGAAAAAAATAGAAATGGATAACAAACAAGCAGACGGGGGAAGATTTTTTCACAATGATCTGAGGAACTCCCGATAAGAATTATTCCTCTGCGGACAGAGTCGGTGATGACGCAAATTCGGAGCGGACTCCGTGGCCAGAGTAATACGGACCATGTTCCCATCTAGATTATTCGAAATTGTTGTTCTTGGTCCAACGATCTTTCCAGAAGTCGAGTGTTTTCGTCGTTCGGTGTCCCCGGACAAGACGACGTAATCAACTCTCCGCTCAACTGAAGGATGGAGAGCGATCGATGAGAAACGAAATCGGGCGCGGTTCGAGAAAAATCGAGACGGTCCTCATTTGAAGCAGTCGCTTTCGGTCTGGTCGGTGTTTCCTCCATATTCAATCCCTATATACCGGCATCCGCATTCTCTGTAGCGAAAGTCGATGCTCATCCTGGGTATGCTGCAATGGGAACTTCGCGCCTTGTTCCATTACGAATGTATAGTCTTCGATTCAAGTTTCCTGCCAGCGAGGAACTCATGTGAGTCGTTTTTCCGTGATTTCGGCAAATTGATCGATTGAGCTTTGGGCTGCAATCGCTTGAGATTCCGGATTGGGTGTTCATCGCTCCGGGACGAGAACATCAAGGCTTGATTCCTGGATCCCGATATCAGAGAGGTCCACGGTGGGAAACTTTCCCGGAGGGGGAAAAAATCTGAAACTGTGAAAAAAAATGAAGAGTGAATTCTCCGTCTGAGCAGAGTGAATTACTTGAGCGACATCTGCATGGGCCCAATGAGGAATCATTTGCTGCTTTCCCACGCAAAAACGGCGCTCATTCGCGGCGCTGCGAGAAAAGAATTGAGCGCTACTGCCAGTGAATTCCGTTTCATTCTTCGCTCGAGACAGAATCACGCGACATCAATCAAGATGGAGTTCGACTGCAAAAAATAAGGAAGTTTTTTTCTCTTTGCCGTTATAACTCACGTGTCCCGCTCACCGTGAACGTCATGTGCAGAACCCGTTTTTACGGTGCGTCAAGAAGATCCGAACACGGCGGAATCCTGGTGAGAGGACAACGATCAGACTAAATTCGCTGAAGCTCGGAGGATTCCAATACCGGAGGACGATGTCACTTCGGGTTCCACGATACGAGTTCATATGGTTTCCTGAGCCGTCACGCTCACGCTTTGCCGATGGCTTTCGATGTTGTTCGACATCCACGACGACAGTATGATCACAATATTGTGTCGTTCGCGGACTATTCCATTACGATAATGACATAGAATGACGACAGAAGATAAGATTGATTGGATGATGAAGAATCCACAGCGCCATGTCGGAAACACCAGTGATCGGAACCAACCAGAACACGGGATCCGGTGGGTTTCGCACTTAGCTACGAAGTTTCTCGCCGTCTCGAACACGTGGAGCAAAGTTTTGTAGCACAAGAGTAGCGAAAACCTGTAGTCTTCTCGAGATATTCGAGACATCAGAGGTACACAACACCTCCCTTGCCATCTCGGTGTTCTCACCTCACGCGAATGAACTATATTCTCATGGTGTCTCAAAGTTAAGACACCGAGGCGGATCCTGCCAAAAGTTTCGCGGCCGTGGAGCGATCAGATAGTAGATAGGATATCCGGGGCTCAACTCTACGTTTTTTCAAGAGAAAGTGTCACTATCCGGGATGGTATCTCAACCAGAGTCTCCAGAAATATTTTTCGGGCCCTCAATGATGAATTCACGCCGTGAGAGGCGACTTCGTCGAATGGACGTTTGAGCTTCTCTTAGTTCTTATCGCCTCCCCCTGCAACTTCCGTCGGACCGTGATCAAAAATCATTCCGGAATGGAGCACAGGACCCGTCTTTGAACACCGGAGCCATGGCTCCAGGCATGTATTCATCAGAGCTGGCTCTTTTTCCTTTCAGCCAGGAATCTTACGCTTTTTCTTCCGAGGTCCCCAGTATTCCGGCAAGGAAGTCGCTTCAGATGGAGAAGTTGCTCGAAGTTCTTCGGCGAAGCTCCGAGCGACGCTGGGAAGGAGCCGTTGACCGCGTTGCTGTCGACGCGACCTTTTTCAAGACTGAATTTCGTCAAATAAAAGACGTCGATCTTTCAACCTTAACCTGTAAACAGAAGTTTCGGAAAATTGCATTGATGTCATTGACTTTGTTTCATACCTGACTTGTTGTGCCGACGCTCTCACAATGGAAACCGGCTAATAATCTAATTGAGAAAATTCTCTAAAGTATCTATATCTCAGAGTCGTCAGAGATGTGAGACGTAGCTTGCCTAGCATAGGAGAATGTGTCGTCGCGAGTCACCGGAGCACATTTTTCAATAATTGAGAAGATATTCAGGAGACCTGCGAGTCGTAATCCGAGCGATCATAATTTCTACCCCAGCGCTGGCGCTGATAGAATTCCCGAAACATCGCTGACATCTCTCCGAGAGCCGTTCGGTCAACAGATGGGAAGAGCTTGGAGCTCCGCCCGCTGGAGCAAGGAAAATTCGGGCCTCGACCTCTGAGATCATCTAGATCCCAGGTAGTATTCAACGATACAGCTCGAATCACTTTCCATCTCGCAGGTGTTCCCCAGGTTGCCAAAAGGAGCTTGCAGGAGTTACGGAAGCCGGTCTGCAGACAGATCATCAGCGGAGCCGCGCTGTCCAAGGAGGGAGTCAGATCGAATTGCGGTGCGAGAGACGGATCAGATCACTTGCCAGATAGAAACTTCCAATCATTTTGATCGGAATCGAAACTCGCTCTGTATATTGTAGGACTTCGGCATTGATGGCAAGATTCCACCACGAGGTGAACAAATTCCAAGCGACGGGGCCCTTCAAATTGAGCTCCATCCGCGATGAGAGTGATCCTCACGACGAACCGCGGTTGCACGAATTGTCGCAACAACGTGCATATTTTTCCTCCGATATTTCTGTCGGCTCCACGTGGACCTAATGGTCGAATGATTTCGCTACGGCGGAAATTCGTTCAGCGAACCATGTCGGGAGCTCATACTGTATGTCTTCTTCCATGTAGCATATAGACTCGCGTGTGGAGAGTCATTCTGCTCCCACGGAGGAGATCCTCTTATGTGATTCCGGCAGTGCCACTTTTCGCGACTAGGACGAGCAGTCTGACTTCCGATGTCGGTCCAACATGACGCGGATTTTGATCCGCGTATAAGAAAAACTGATCATGGAACCTCAGAAGTGGAAGGATTCGAAATTATGGAAGTTTTTCGCGGAAGTCCGACCAAGAGCCCGACGATCTATGCGATCGAATGATATCTCGGGGGCTTCAATAGGCAATCATACAGTATGGTCGGAGACCGACGTCCCGCGCTGGCGGAACGGAATCCGCAACGTACCACGGCATAGCGAGGCGAATAGTCATAGGTGGTCTATGTCTATGCCGTTCACTATATTGTTCAGGAGCCGGAATCCCCCGGTGGAGACGCCGCGACAGAAGTTGGGCCACAAGGATCGTGATGAGAGCGTCGCTGCATACACAATGATCACGATTTCGCTCTAGAAATCGTGGAATTCGCGGAAAACCGCAGCATGTGGCGAAACTCGCGGAAAGCGAAGGTGTTAATCTCAGGAATCGCGAGCTTGATCGATGTCTGCGGGAAGTGGAGGTGTTAATCACGGAAACTGCAAAGTTGATCGATGCCCGCGGAAAGTTGAAAACAGGGATCCGTCTAATTCATCTTCTGATATCCGAAAGTCGTGGGATACTTCTTACGAGGAAATTCCCGGAGCGAACCCTTTGACTCGGAAGTTCTGAGCCAGACAGTCGGGTTGTCTCGTAAGAGCTCACACTGACGAGGAGAGAATTACCTTGAGAAAGACACCCCCTGGAAAATTTTGGGAGAGAGGAATAAAGAACTTCACGATTTCCATCTTTCAGCGAATTTCATTCCGCTTCGTCCTCTGACTCGAGCTCTCTCACGATTCGGGGTCTCGGCCCAGAGGAGATTAGGGTGCTGTCAGCCAAGGAGTCCGTCTCTCGTGACAGTTTCTCGAAGAAAATGCGCGATTCCATCGCTGGACGATCTTGGGGTTCCCCGAAATTGGTTGGACCTAGACCTCAGTGGATTGCGCGCTGACAGGTTTGAATCGGTGATTCTTGATCAGAGGTACCGCAGAATGTCGGACATAGAGTCAGAGGGCGTTCCTGAGCATTATTATCGACCGCGAACGTTTGATCATTGTGAAAATCCTTTCGTCCGGTTTTCCACTCAAGAGACACACCAGACAATGCAGGAGCGACCTTCTCGGACTTTTTACGCCACCAAAGGAAATTATCATATCCTCTGATCTAGGGTGGGAGTTCATGCGTCGATCCGATACACGTCTCGAACACGTTTCCGGCGAAATTTCGTGCTAGAGTCTAATTCCAATTTAGGCCAGAACGGAAGCTGTTTCAATTCCAAACACCGCGAAAAAGAAGGATATCGTCGGAGCGATCCGTAATTCCCCCGATCTTCTGGCGGACTCATCATCACTTCATCCCCCTCATGGGCTTGGACTTAGCGAAACTCTGTTGCTGAAGTCCTCAACGGATTATCGATTCGAAATATCTCCTAAATGCCGTCGATAGGCGTCCATTGTGACAAGCGAAATAAATTTCGGGCGCGCTCTTCATTCTCGAACGTCACAGGCGCTTATCCCCCGTGCGATGAACTTTGAGAATGATTTCCGAAGATCTCGTGCTGCTCGAACCTGTATGTCGCGGCTTTTCCTCAGAGTTGACTTCGCGCGGTGACGTCAGAGCTTCAGTCAACGCTCATTCGGCGCATCCGGCTGTGGGTCCGGCGGTTTTCTGCGACTTCCAAGCGCCGGTCTTACCCTTGCCATACTTCCCTTACCAGCAGTACTTAAGCGGCGCCGTATCTGGGTCACGACCATCAGAAGAATCGTCGCAAGGGGAAGTTAGCGGTACGGAAAGTTTGCTGTCGAGTTGACTGGATAAGAACTCGCATCGTGGACGAGCGCACTGTGGAGTACTCGTGAAGCTCTAGAGTGTGTTGTGTAAATTTCACCAGAACCCGACCGAAATGCCAATCATCGTGGACCAATTGCAATGGGCTTACCATGGGATCATGGAGAACACGGACCCCCGAGTGGCCAAGTGGCCTCTCATGGGGAACCCCATGTCAATCATCTCGATTGTGGCCTGCTACGTGTACTTCGTCAAGATCTACGGTCCGAAACTTATGCGGGACCGGAAACCGTACCCGATCAAGAATTTCATAATCGTCTATAATGTGTTCATGGTGCTCGCGAATGCGTGGTTCTTCTTCTACGGAGGTAGTTACACGTATCTCGGAGGTGGATACTCGTGGTTTTGCGAAGCTGCCAACTACGGTTCGGACCCAAAACAGATGACCATCATCTCGATCGGTTGGTGGTACATGCTTCTGAAAATCACAGAGTTGCTGGATACGGTGTTCTTCGTTTTTACGAAAAAGTTCTCGCACATCTCGGTTCTTCACGTGATCCATCATTCATTGGTTGCTTGTTCCGTCTGGCTCGGAGTTAACTTCGGTGCAACTGGTCAGAACGCTTTCTTCCCCCTCATCAATTGCGTGATCCACTGTATCATGTATGCGTATTACGCGATGGCTGCTCTGGGTCTCCAGAAGTACCTCTGGTGGAAACGATACCTCACCCAGATGCAGATGTCTCAGTTCATCTCGCTCATCATCCACGGATCAATTCCTGTGTTCTACGACTGTGGATTCCCGCCATATTTCGGATACATCACCATATTTGAGGCGTCTCTGTTTTTCGTTCTCTTCTTCAACTTCTACATGAAGACGTATAAGAAGACTCCGGCTGCCGTGAAAAACGCCGACAACGGAGTGCATTTCGCCGCGAAAACAATCAAGGCCCAGTAAATGCTCAAGATCCGCCGACGTCATTGTCGTCGTTGCCGCTCATTTAGGACCAATTTAGGACAACTGTAAATAATTTATGAAGATGGCTCAACCCCCTAATGGAATTCAACGTCCGTCTTCAACTCAGTGCTCAACTTGCGCATTTACGTCGCCGCCTGGATTGAGGAGACATCTCTCGCACTTGGTGTAGTTCTAAGTGTTGTGTTGTTTGTATCTCTCTGTTTCATTTTTTGAATTCATCGTCGGTACCACGAGTCGTGCTCATAAATCCAGAAGACCCCTACACTGTTTGTCTGATACATGTGGAACTGGTGCATTTATGCACCGACTGCCAAAAAGCTGTTGATGGCAAAACCAAAACATATGCTTTTGGAATCTGGAGCTCCTCCTAGAATCTCTCATATGTGGCAACGAGCTCCGATCGTTCCTCAGTGCCACCATCGCTTCTTCAATCGATCCCGGCAGTGAGATGACCCGGACCCGAAAGAACGCTCTGTTGGTTATACTGAAAGAAGTCCGTGCCGGAAGTTATAGGTAGTCCGAACCAGAGCGATCGAATCCGAGATCGATTTTCAAGAAGAACGACTGCAGTCAATACGATGATGATATAGAAATATATTATGCGGAGGACGGCCAGCGAATTCGATCGTGGGAAGCTCTGTTACTTCTCCGACCCGAAAACATGTTGCAAGCGAATACTGTAGAAGAAGGCGCGGCGCTGGATTCCAATCGCAGCCTCTTTTGTTAATAAATATTCATTGATGCGATCGAAGAACCCACTGTTCGTTGATTTTCACTACTCTTCTGAACAGTTCCGCTGCATCGCAGCTAATAGGGTCAGATATTCCAGTCAGCTGATCATTTCATGGAAAGCGATGAGATTCCCCCGAAAGTTCTCCGCGGGAGCCGACCTACATAAGGAGGCTTTCGCGCAAATTCACCGACTTCACTTTCACTTCATTACGTCTGGGGCTCCGACAAAACCCATCTGGGGACCCGCCGGGGACGGGGATTCGTTCCGCCGTCTCTGGACTGATGATTGATCATACGCTAGGCTGCGAATCCGTAGATGGATTGACGAATTCAGCTGCTCAACGGTAAATTCTCCACTTTCATTCATGGGTGACGTCAGAATTCCAGTCGGTGTTCCCCGATCGCATCCGGTCGCCAGTTCGGCGGTTTTTCTGTGCTTTCGCAAAGCGGGGTTAACCTTCTTGTGAATCGCTAGCCGTATTCGGGTCAAGACGAAGAGCTCGGATACGCGTATTTCAGTGAGTGAACCACGGAAAAACGAGGAAGCTGTTGCACATCCTTCGAGTTCGTGAGCCCCCCAAGCTATGATGGATCGTGTTGCATCCGAGAGTACTTCCGGAAACAGGTATGTATTGTGGAAAAGAGAAGCCTTGCTGTGCAGAGCGTTCTCACGCTTTAAATGTCGAGACGATCGTCGCAACTCAAGACGACTCCAAATCGTCAATCGGAATCTGTCACTACCGTGGCGTAATGGCGTAAGAGTGGAAACTAATCGATGTGTATCATTTTTCTGGATTCTCTCGCGGCAGGTTGCTCGCCTTGTCGGAGCGACCTAAACTCGACATTCCTCACTGTCCTTAGCGCAGTTTTCCGCTCTGTCAAGCGCGCTGATGTCTTCCGGATGCATGTGCATGGAGAATCAGTCGCGAACTCGAGCCTAATATTCCCCTCCGGACCATTATTGAGTGACTTGGATTTCGTGACTGCCCTCCGCCCTGGCATTTTGTACGACGCTCCGCTTCCAGTTGATGATCAGAGCGAAGCTCACCACACACTCGACGCTCGAGAACGACGCCGGCCGTGGGGATGGGCGTCTCTCGACGCGTTGCCCCTGCTAGGATATCCACCGATGTAAGTGAAAGCAAACATCTATGTACATTCGCGGTCGGAGGAACCTCTCGCAACGTACCGATTAATTTCGGGTTCCGGTGGCGAAAGAGGTCAAGCCATCCAAGTAGTCCGAGCGACCGACTGACCGATCGTATGTCGTAGAGCCAATCAGTCAGACAGTCAGAAGTGGGATCGGGAGCTGATACCCAATGCGATCTGCCGAAATGCGGAAATTCAATTCGTGGGCGATGGGGGCATCCGAGGGTTCGGAGGTAGCTTATGGTAGTCGAGGGATGCCGATGCCCCGTCATTACATACGCGCGACTCGAGGTAAAGGCTTCCGTCGATTTTCAGCTCTTCGGCGCTTTAGTCGCGAGACGAATATCGGTCATGAGAGCCGCCCGGCAATCTTCTCCCCTCTTTCCGAGCTATCCGCTGCTCCAGAAATCCGGCGATCCACGCCACAGTCCGAATGAATGGAGTTTTCTATTCCCCACATTATCCGCCGCTGTCTGAATCCGAAAGGATATTCGAGAAATTCAAACGAACTTTGTCGGACTCCAGAGGAGCCAAGCTTTCCTGATGAGGCGCGATTGAACTCGTTCGGATAATGATGGAAAATCCAGCGCTGTGAGAGTCTAGCTGCGTCTGATAGCAGAATCCGTCCGTAAAACAGACAGCATTCACACATCGATTTCGTGATATTCAAGAAGCGCTCGCTCTTCACGCGGATCCGGACCGTGAGTCGCGCTTCGGCGGATTGAGACGTCGCAGCGCTCCGATTCCGACCGAGCTACCTCTCGTCGATTTTCCATAATCGCTCCCCGGACCGGTATCGGGAGAAAGCGCAGGTGTAAACGTTCCGTTTACAGTTACGCCTCGGTGCGAGAGCCTTCCGTTGTGACGAGTTGACCGTGAGCTGACCGATCGCGAGCATGATTTCTACCTGATGATCCGATCGCTGAGCTTCGCGCATCATCTGCGCGAGATGCTCCTTGTGCTTCAAGTTCAAGGTCGAGCGACGCCACGAAAGATCCCCGACTTTTATCTATGAAGATTTTCGCTTCTACCGACACTAGTCAGTCGATGGTTTTCGTTCGCCACGCTCGCGGAGGTAGAAGCATCTTAGTTGGATTGGTAGAAAGTATAGTAACAAATTCCCGCCGCCAACTGCGGGAACCTATGCCCGTTCTTCGTCGAAATCTCTGACTGATCCCCTCGACCTCCGGTCCTCGCTAGTAACGCAAATGGCCCCGCGTTTCATCATATTTCCCCACGTTTGGGGAGACTCGGTCTTTTACCAACGGCGACGACTGCGCAAACTCTTGAGATCTCAACTATCAGCTCCGCTCGGAATTATTTCCCCTGTTATTTTATCGCGATCCGTCAGCATTCGTTGCGTCAGCAGAGAAAGGGCAGGAGAAAATCTCGCGATAAGGAATTTTCGGGCCCAACGGGAGGACAGTCATCATTCTTCTGGTAGAACGATCCGACAGGCGTGGGCGGCTGGGGGAAAATATTGATGTCAAGCAAAGAGCAGTGTTGTCGTCTCTTGTCATACAAGGAGGGAAGCTGTTGAAGAAGGTCCCGATGGCAAGCAGGTACTACAACCAAGATGAAAGCTGTCTCAATTCAGCAGTCTTGGGAGGACCTTGGCAGTGTAGCCAAAAATAAGCGAATAATTTATTTTATTAAGCGTAGGGCCGGGATGTCACCAGAATCTCGTTCGAAGGATGGCTGAGACGGCATAAATTCGTGGACCATATTCTGAGTGGTCCGAAGCGTTCTCACGCACTCCGGAAGCTCCGACACATGTGGCTGCGCACATCCACAGCTGTACATATCTGTACCTTGGGCCGTGCAACGCTCATCTAGTCGAATACTTCTCCTATCGCAAGCGGGACTGAGCCGATCTATACTCGGAGTGACTGCGATTTGGAGCATAATGACTGTGTGAGACGAAATGAACTCCGAAGCTATCAAGGTCCCTCGCGGGGTTTCTCGGGGAGTCACGGCGTGAGGAAATATGGGAGTCAAATCATCCCCATAAACGGTGTGTGAACCCATCCAATAGGCTGATTGGCCAAGTTCGCTCAGTCCTTATGGAGGCATATTCACAGTACCGACATCCTCTCTCTTCTGCCCTGTGGTCCATCGCTCGTTGCTACAACATAGCTTCCCCGATTCTCAATCGGCGATTCCATAGACTCAACATCCTGCACTCTCGGAGTTCCATGGCTCGCCCTGATTCGAATAGTGACTCTGAGCTCCCTCCCCTTATTCTATAGGGCACTCCCAAGTACTTCCTTAGCGATCCCGATCCGACCAAGTGTGAGACAGTATAGATGAGCAATAAAAAATCGACGATGACCGTAAGAGCTAGAGAATCAAGGTTGACCTGCGATTCTGGAGCGAACAGAAGGAAACTCATGAATCGAGACACCGGAACAATGAGGATCATGAGATGCGATGCGTGTTGTAGGAACGGAGCCGTGACAGATTAAAATGCCCCGACCAGGCACCCGTAAACCCTTAAGCGGAGGAAGAGCTCGAAAAGCGACCTCTGATCCTTCTGCATCTCGAACGAGGATGGAAATCTGAATTCCGGAAAGGATCGCAATCGAGAATTCCCTCGAGTTCCCCAGAACCATGAATAAGTCACCGGAAGCGGAAGGGTGATTCCGGAAAACATCGCTTCTCTGAGTACAGGCTGACCGCTACCGTGGTGCATGCATAAGGACCAGCCAGAATCGATGGGATCCGATTCGAATCGTATCTGGTAATGCTAGCGAGGGTGTCGGAAAACTCGCTTACGCATTCGAATCAGGGAGATTCGATTTCAAGGATGAAGTAGACAAAGGAGGAAGTTACATTTGTGATTCGCGACGTTTCGTGCTAACTGAGATATTTGGCACCAGCTGCTGCGATTGGTGGATGTACTCTTTCTCGATTGATTTTTTCTGAGCCACTCTAGAAGCAGATCGGCTTCAGTAAATTGAAGGGGATTCCATATTCGGGAAGGTACCCGAGGAATGTATCGGTGAGCATGCCCAAGAAAGGTTCTTCTCGAACTGCGTCAGGACGAGGAGCAAAACTTGTCTGTCAGGGCACTGCTCGTCTAACTCCGCTGAGCAGATCGGATTTGATCCAGTTTTCAAGTGTAGCGGTCCTTCCGAGGAAAAGGTGCCAGAAGAATCGACCGACTATGACGAGTTGACGGAACATTTCGCAGGGACTTCACGCGAGCACTTCAGCGAAGATCTCCCAACGAGCATGTGTCGACTTCTCCGGACCCACGCCTCGACTGGAAGACTAGAGCACACAAAGAGGCTAGCAGCTCGAAGATTTGTAGGAGTGAAAACGACAGCGCATCATTTCAGAGCATCGGCAAAAAAAATGCTGAGTTGAATGCAGCTGAGACGCACAGCTGCATCATAGTGCTGGCGGAACAACGGAAAAAACCGCCGACGAGAAGCGGCGCGGCGCATGACAGTGCTCCCTACTCAAAACCCTGGGATTTCCACCCTTATCAACCAGAAATATCGCGAAACTGTCCAGGAGGGCAATGATTTGAGTTCGGATATAGGTACATGAGTCGAAGCGATGCCTGCGGATATCCTTCGGTCGTTCGATCGGCGTTAGTCTCCATGGCGCTTCGCTCTCTGGAGTCGACGAAGTTGCTGGTCTAGCGCGGATTCGAATCTTCGCTCTCCCCTAGGTTTCCATAGCGTCGACTCACCCGCGAATACCACCGAGAAGGTTTCCCCTGGGAAATTCTCCCATCTCCGGAAGCGTCCGACACTCGATTGGACCTAATGCGATCCGGTACGAGCTCCGAGTGCCATCCGGTGGTATGCGAGCGGAACGGGCACGACCAGAAATACGAGTCCAACTTAATTCCTAGCCAAGTTCAGCTCATCCTGTGCATTGGATTCGCAAAATCGAAGACAGAGCTCAAACTTCCGCGAAGCTGACAACATCCTATGTGGATGACTGAAGTAATTGATGATTTCGGGCAGGAGTCTGCATCGTTTCGAATAACAGCTTCTCATGAACCCATGGATGGGGGGGACCTGAGCGAAGCGTTCTCGGAATCTTTCAAGACCGGGCGCCCCGCTATCGATGATGATGCTTTGCTCAGCGGGTCTTCTGCACTTCAAAGGAGATTCGAGCGCTCTCACTTAGGGTTCATAATTATATCGAGGTGATCAGCGATCAGCGCTATGATCTCAAGGTACTCAGGGTGTTCCGACAGCGCCGACAACATTCACACAGCATTGAAGGTCAGGTACCGCTCAGCTACAGGGGTCAGAATGAATGGATGTCTCGCCGTTTCGAGGGACTTGAAAATGCTCGACCAGCAAATACGTGTTCATTCGACTCGGCCCTGAGCCGAGTGAAGTCTTCCGAGAGCGCAATGACGCGCTCACAGACAATGTTGTTCGTCGACGGAAGAGCTAGAGATGAGTGTCGGAGTCGCTAGTGCAAGGAAATCCGGCGTCCAGTTCCCCGCACAATCGAACTCTTGCATCTCTCGCTCATTCGAGGAATGTCCTACCGGCATGCATCGCATTCGAGGGATTTGCAGGATCCTCTCGAGGCCGGACCCGGGGCTGTGGTCTTCCATTTCGGTTTCCAAGATAGGACAGTCAGGCAGGTCGCCCTCTCGATCTGCCCGGATGCATCGGCGTCGTGAATCAGTTCACTGAAACGATATCTCTTCGGTCACATTCGGGAAATCAGACTTCGTCTCTCAACGAAGGCGTGAGTCAGGGGAATCCGATGCCGAGTCTGGAAATGCCGCAGATCCTGATGGCGATAGCTGAAGATTTTTCGGCTCCTAGGTTGATGACCCGAGTTCTCGGTGGAGGTTTCAGACCGCAGGACCCGGATAAGCAAAGAAGTCGAACGACCGAGCCCCTTGAACACACATGGCGATCGTTAGCGAGAACGCCGAGGGATTCGGAGAAAAACAATGGGTTGAGGGTGGCGAGCTCCGCGATAATGGGAGACGACGGGGCACTTCAGCTCTCCACATCGAGGACGTTTAGGAGGTCCCACCGAAGAGCCCGCGGATTAGCGACTTGTGTAGCTTGACCGGTGCCCATGGAGCAAGCTCCGGAGTTATAGTTCGAGCGTAGCGCCAGAATCTGTTTCGGAGCTGCTGTGTTGCACGGAGTATCCTGTTCCTGCCTCAATCTCGCTGAGTCGGGCAAACATGACCATCATCGTGGATCAGCTGCAATGGTTCCATCGTGGAGTCATGGAGAACACGGACCCTCGAGTAGCCGACTGGCCGCTCATGGGGAATCCTGCCTCCATTCTGATGATAGTAGCCTGCTACGTTTACTTCGTGAAGATTCTCGGTCCCAACCACATGAAGGAACGGAAAGCCTACCGGGTGAAGAACCTGATCATCGCCTACAATGTGTTCATGGTGCTCGCCAACGCGTGGTTCTTCCTCTACGGGGGTAGCTACACGTATCTCGGCGGAGGATACTCGTGGTTTTGCGAGCCTGCCAACTACGGTACGGACCCGAAACAGATGACCATCATCTCGATCGGATGGTGGTATATGCTGCTGAAGATCGTCGAGTTGATGGATACCGTATTCTTCGTGCTGACGAAGAAGTTCTCCCACATCACGCTTCTCCACGTTATCCACCATTCTTTGGTGGCTAGTTCTGTCTGGTTTGGTGTGAACTTCGGTGCGACTGGTCAGAACGCGTTCTTCCCATTGGTCAACTGCGTAATCCACTGTGTCATGTATGCTTATTACGCGATGGCAGCATTGGGTCTCCAAAGGTACCTCTGGTGGAAACGCTATCTCACCTTGATGCAGATGTCGCAGTTCATCTCGCTCATCATCCACGGATCGATCCCTGTGTTCTACGACTGTGGCTTCCCACCCTACTTCGGATACCTGACGATCTTCGAGGCTGCACTGTTCTTCGGTCTCTTCTTCAACTTCTACATGAACACTTACAAGAAGAAGCCGGCTGTCCTGAGAAATGAAGGGGGCGTGGATGTCGCCGCGAAAACTATCAAGGCGCATTGAGAACCCGGTCGCCGAGCGATCCCCGGAAGGATTCGGAGGGTTTCCGAATTCTCGAGGGCTTGAGTCGCGGCTCTTCGGTCATCTCGTTGTAATCGTAGAGCTTCCGTATAATTGTGAATTGAGAAAAAAATCTAGAATACGAGCTCTGTGGAAGAATTCTAGAATACGAGTTCTGGAAACGGAAGGAAGGAAGTGAGGGAGGAAGTTTGTATCTCTTGTGTTGAGAGTAATCAGTGTATGGAGGAAGAAATATGTATCCAATGATTGTTTGTGAACACTCATCTCTTGGCCGCCTTGTTAAACTCGTAAGAGATGACAGATCTGTTTCCGCATACGGAAGTTCCTGTTTAGAAAGAAGTGTATCCGTGCGACCCGGCGTACTCCGTTCGTTGCTGCACACGTACACGCATTTGACGGCGTCGACTCGGGGTCGACTTGTGAATAAACAGCTGTCGATAGATTCGTATTCAATGTGTTCTCATTTTCATCTCTACGAATATTTGCGCTCGTTGGCAACCAATGAGGTCAAGCCGTTCAGTCAGTGGGCCAACGAGCAAAGAAGCAGATTTCTGCCGAGCATGCGTCAAAACAGGAGAAGAAGAGTTTCGCCAAATGGCTCGATGCTTGCAGCGAACAACGAGATATTCTTGAAGTGTGAAATTCTGTTGAGGGATCTCGACAGCCCGTCACAGTCGATCGTCTTTGCCTCCATCTCCTTCTTACATCTAGTCGTTAGAACTATCAGTTCGGACGGGAATTAGATCACACACGACTTACGCAGCGAAGTTCAGCGGCCCAGCCGACGCTTTCACCGCCAGACAAAAATCGGTCACTATTTCATCGCAACCAAACGATCTTCTTCTCTCAACTGAAGCTCTTCTCCACTGCTCCAGAAGTTCAGCGATCCAGACTGCAGCGCAAATGAACGGAACTCTCTCAGCCGGCAACAACCACTTCGTGAACATCTCAGTCGGTCTGTGATGCTATAGGAGAAAGCTCTTCTCGCGCAGTCTTACACCTGATTCAGCTCGATCAACTAACTTATCGCAATGATGATCGATCTTTCCGCAGCCTACGCGATAGCCCTCATGCTGTGTAGTCCGATCACTCCCAAGAACCACTTTCGTTTTTTCCGGAAGGGTCAGATCTTCGACCTGTAAAAAGTGAATGCGAAATGACAAGCAAGTCCCCGGAGCGAATCGATCTCGAATATTCGCGTTCCCCGTAAGGTTGGAGGAATCAGATCGATCGAGGGCCCTCCGTTGCTTCCGACATTCCGGGTCATTCATGACATTCGAGCGAAATGGAACGATCCGAGAGAATTCAGTTTTCCGATGACGATTACCCGATCACTTTCTCCTATTCCATATTCTGCAGATGCGCGCGCTACACGGTGCAAAGATACGTCACGGTTGCGAGCTAACGACTCAAAAATCTGTCGACTAATGATCAAATTGTTTGCTCGGCGTCGCGCTTCACGCGCCACATTCGTCAAGTTCAAGGTCAAGTCACGCTATAGATACTCTTGAATGTGATCCTTATGCACTGCTGGTCATCCTTTTGGGTTTCGCTCTCGTCGGCGAAGTTCGTTCCTGCTTCTGCAAGCCGCTCCATTGCTCAAGGCTCCGGGCAAGCGTTCTGTCCCGTTCGATTCCAATTTTATCCTAAATAACTCCTCATTAATCTTCGCCTCCCCAAGAAAAGTCATGAATCAAGAACTCCTCAATAATTGCGAGGCTGGCGCACAGAGCCACGCGTTGGACGTGAGCAAGTGAAACTGTAGAATCTAGAAAGCGAGAAAAGACCGAGAGTGGACTAATGCTACGCGGGGAATGTCGTCTTTACCACAAAACATGATTCGCACTGGCGCAGGTTCTGTGCTGCCGGAACATGAGAATTCATTGCCGTTTTGGACAGCCTCCCGATTGCCTTGAAGTACCTGACAGCGAGGCATCTTTGCTTCTCGAAGGATTAGACTAGAAATCGAAGAAATCGATGACCCTTCCCGATCTATTTTTCCTCGCATCCGAAGTTCAAGACGAGCTACTTGAGCTACTATTCGATGACCGTTCAAGGGCATGAAATTATTTCACTTCGGAGGGACTCGACGAAAATCGAGAGGAAGCCCACTAAAAGTTTGAAAACATTTATTTTGACTCTTCACCTCAACGAGGATTGGAATGAAGGTGACGAGAAAGTTTTGGCAAGAAAACTGATGTCAAACAGACTGGAGTTTTGTCGTTACTTGACATACAAGACGGGAAGAGGAACGGCTATCGACTTCTTGAACTGCGATCGCAGTGCAAGAGAAGTCTGCTGAGTTTCCACCGATTCCTGATGAATCCTTGACAATGCAGATAGGCGAAGACGAGTGAGAAATCGTTAGAAAAAAAGCCAATGAGACACCTTCGCTTAAGGCCATCGCCATCGTGAGGAACATGTGAAAAAGCAGAAATTCGCGACTCGGATCTGAAGGACTCCCATCTAAGTAAGCACAAGTGAGCACCCCTAAGAAGGCAGATTATTATTTGAGCTACCAAATCGTGTTTCCTCTCTTCTGAGCCGTGTACGATGCGACTTTTCTGTGAATGTAGCTCTGCACCAGCGCGTCAGATATTATGCAGCCGCATCTCGTAATGAGTGCAGAGGTGCTTACTTACAATAGAAGTTCTCATCGATGCTGGCAAGATAATAACAATAAAAACCAAGCGCTATATTTCCGGTGCATCCTGAGAGACATCAGAAAAACATAAGCTCACTTAGACGTCCCATCTCCGTCGATCGTGTCGTATGGTCACCAGTGCCGTACGGCCTTTGTTGTGATAGAACGCATGAGGATAGGGATAAGCGTTCCCACATCCTGCTCAGACCATTGCTCAGTAAGACACCACGATCTTGGTAAGGCATGACTTCCGATATGAAAGCGAATGCGGAGATTTTTTCCATGAGCGGAAGATACTTGTTCCGGGGAGAGAACGGGAGAAACCTGCGTCACCGGGGCAGGCTCATGGACTTGAGAGCTTGGCGTCGGGTTCATTTGATAGACACGATTTCCCCTCGGGAGAGTACTTTACTTCCGGTCTGAAGTATTCTGTCTCAGGGACCCACCGAACGCGAAACAAATCGTTGAAAGCTCTTAAAGCCGCCTCTCGCACTTTCCTTCTCGAACTTCTCTCTCATTCGTTCGGTGCGATCCCGAATCAGCCGGTCGGCTGATTTTCCCGTGGCTTGTCCCGCGAGAATTACCATGCGATCAATCGCTCTTTTCGAAGAAGTTGTTACCGCTCTCGAGCACAGATCTGATTGAGGAAAGTTCAGACGATCTCCATCACCACGGATTATGACACTATGGAAGGAGATGCATGGCGACATCCGATTCGTTTTGTCTTTCGTCAATATTTCACATCCGAGTTCTGAGCACCCAATGACTTTCTCGGAAGGACGCGAAGAAATAATGGAGTCATCCGGCCGCATTGATGTGCGACTGAATCAGATTGAATGTAGTCCGCTCGATGCATCCCCTGGACAGACCGAGAATTCCAGCGGCCAGCCCAATTAAAATCGATCGTTATCTACATTAGCGGGAAGGGGTTTATCGAGACAGAGTCTCGCCCGATGACAAACTCCGGACTCCAGTGAACCGGGAACAAGAAGAATTATCCGACTGGAATTCGGCAAAGTGAAATCGATGCGGTCTGTGCCGACACGTGAGCCTTCGGCTGGAAAACAGTCGTTCGTCCGCTTGTTCGTTCATTCCTTCGATCGGCGGACGGCCGGGCGGAAGGACGGACGGTCGGTCGGACAACGGCAAAAGCAGCGAAACTGCAGGCGGGTCCTTTGCCAATGTAACGGAGCTTTTTCTACCCGATGTCGGTGAAGAGCCGAAATGTCGGTTACCGGAGGCCGTCGCCCTCGTTGGCCCCGAAGACCAGATCTGGACTTCAGCTTCGTTGCGAATGCCGGAGGCTCGGCGTAAGCAAAAGGTGCGCGCTCAATTCCTCAGTCAAGCAGTGAGTCGCATGAGTTTTGGCTTCACGAGCAGCGGCGTGCGGGCGCGCATACAAAAAAAAGCGCTCAGACGATTCGTGTCCCTTCTTTGACGTTTGCGCACTACAATTCCCTTGCCGCTCTTAGCTACATAATAAGGTTTTTATGAATCTTGGGATTCTTCGTTTTGCCCGGTCTCCCAACGCACCGATAAGAATCACAAAAAGGGAACCTTTGTTGACGCTGCTGACTAATAGGAGCGCGATGCCACGGTGAAAGTTTTCCCATCTCATGCCTCGGTTTCACGGCAATTCAAAATGATCAATCTGAGGGGCGAATAACGGGATTCGCAGACTTCGGGTCGTGCTGCGATGCAAGCTCCGCGATAGGACGTCCCAGAATCAAGTCTTCTGGATCTATGCTCGTGTCATTGATTGAAGCGCCGCTAACGACTAGACGTCCGCGTCTCGAATTCTGTAATGCCCGATGCGGTAACGAACTTCTGACGGGTGACTTAACACGGCGGGAGCGTATTGGTTTGTACAGAAGTTCGCGAACCACTGGAAAGAAACAGACTTATCAGACGCCAAATATAGAGCAAAGCTGTCTGATCAGGAGCCCCCGGATAGCAATGTTTTGTTCTGGTCGTGAGTGAGAGTTTGCCGTCCGTCGCCGCCGGATCCGGCTATTTCAATGGGCCGCTCGGCTCCCTACGCTCCTTTCCGTTTTCTGTCTACGGGACCGAAAGCCTCTCGTATACTAGAGAATCCGCTATCACCGGTAGACGCCTTGACGTCGGTCCGGGCTGACCATCGCCGCTCTGGCGATTTCTGCGGTCGACGCCGTCGCCATCGACAACAGCCACACCGGCACCGTCACAAGCAAAAGCACGGTCTTATTCTGTGGGTCGACGGATCCCGGCCCCAAGAATTTGTGGGTCTTCAGGTCATCGTGTATTGGTGCTTCTGTGGCGGCTCGCGCCGCCGCTCCGAATGTTTGTCTGCAGTGTTGCCTCTCGTCCAGAAGTTTGAGAAGTTGACTGGAGTCTGAGTCGCGAACAGCCCGATCATTTCCCAAGTCCGGGCTATCGTTTGGGGAATATCCTCAGACATTTTTGCAAAATGAAATTCAGAGCACCGTCTGAGTGTTGCGCAGAGCGAACTTTTGCGACTCCCGACATGGACGGGGACAAGGACGTGCGCTCTGCCAGACAATCCTCAACTCGGTGGATTGTCCTGGCAACAACAATCCGTATTTTTTTCTCATGCTAGCATAAGACGTTCACCACATATGTAAGTACATGTCGATCAAATCGATAACTGATAACAGTTTCCTCCTCACCAGTTGGCACTGTCTTCGGATCTTGTTTGTCGATTCGCTGTTTACGTGATAAGCGATCCTGTCGACGAGGGGTATCGTATGTGGTATGTGGCGCAGATGTCTCTTTTGTATACGGGGGACGTTTTTTT